CCATCCATCCATCCATCCATCCATCCATCCATCCATCCATCCATCCATCCATCCATCCATCCATCCATCCATCCATGGTAATAGCAATACACTTACTTATATACCGCTTCCCAGTGCTTTCCAGCATTCTCTAAGCGGTTTACAGAGTCAGCCTATTGTCCCCCCAATAATCTGGGTCCTCGTTTGACCAACCTCAGAAGGACAGAAGGCTGAGTCAACCTTGAGCCGGTCCGAATCTGAATTCTGAATCTGAATTCTGGGAGTTGAAGTCCACACATCTTAAACTTGCCAGGGGAAGCCTGGTTTCCTTTAGTCTATGAAATCATCCTAGGTATTATCTGTACCTCTGTCCACGTGTTCGTCTAAGCGCCTCTACCCTTGATCGCGAGAGGAGGGGCAGGTGGTGGATTTTAAAAAGGATCAGGTGAGAAAAATCCACCTCTGTTAATACGGCTTCGACCAGCCAGGCTTTCTCCTAAATGCTTGTTTGAGTCAAATAAGAGAAGGCAGAGGCCAAGTCACCGGGTTTAAATTCAGCCTGTGCAGCCACTGAGGGCAAGGACAAAAATCAGTCATGGTGAGCGGTTTGGTGTCACAAGAGAAACCACAGCTATTTTTACCCAGAGCAAACTCAAAACTATTTTAAGGCAAGATAAGTTGTCAGTTCAAGGCAAGACAGGCTGGCAAGACTCCACCTTATAAGCCAAAATATCCTGGGGTATAGGTGAGCCCAAGGCACTCAGGTGACATGGAAGTCTCAAAGGTGCTTTTTTTTTTCCCAAGAGGCAACTGGACTTCCTTGCGTTTATTTTGAAGACGTTTCGCTTCTCATCCAAGAAGCTTCTTCAACTCTGACCGGGTGGTGGAGAAGGGAAGGATTTATACTCCTTGCAGATGGCTGGTCATTTGAAACCTTTTAGAGCTGTGATGGCGAATCTATGGCACGCGAGCCCCAGCCAAACATACCTGCCCTGCGCACGCGCACGCCTCCCAGTTGATTTTCAGCCCATTGGAGGCAGTTTTCGACCTCCCAGAGACTTGAGGACCTCTGCAGCCTTTGGAGGCTGAAAACGGGCACTTCTGGTATTTCCGGAAAGCCCGTTTTTTGGCCTGCAGAGGCTTCCCTCGAGCCTCCGGGAAGGCGAAAAAAGGCCTCAAATGGGCCGAAAGTCAGCTGGGAGGCACGCGCATGCGCAGGTAAGGGGACAGGGCAGGTGTTCTGTGCGCATGTGCATGGGGGCAGGGTGCATTGCATTGTGGGTGCCAGCATGCAAGCGCTCTCTCTCGCGCTTTTGGCACACAACCAAAAGGTTCGCCATCACTGTTTTAAAGGGCCGTTGAGGCCACTTGGAGGTTTGTCTGTCCCCTCAGGGTCACCAGAGTGGTGCAAATGGGCGTGGAGCCTTCTTGGAAACGCTGAAAGGACTGTGCTGTAGACTGGAGAGAGATGATGTTGTATCCCTCCCTCTCTGTTGAGGGAGGACTGTTCAATTTTGACGAAGATGGCCTCTTTGACCCCTCTTTGAAACCAGTGGTCCTCTCTGTCCAGAATATAAATCCTCCCATTTCCCTGAAGAGCCCTGTCTCGACAGAGGGGAAGGGATACGACATTGTATCCCGACATTGTTAGAGGAAGAGGACTCGGAAGATGAGGAGGAGGAACTGGGAATGCCTTCCTCCTCAGGACCTTCCTCTCTGGCAATGCCTTCCTCCCTGATAATGCCTCAGGTTCCAGCAGACAACCGAGAGGAACAGCCTGAGATTAATCAGGAGGAGGAGGGCATATCGGAGCAGCCCCTGACAGAGAGTCAAGAGGACGAATGTTGGCTTGATCCTAGGCAGCGTCGTAGGGAGAAACGTGAGCAGCAACGTAGGAGGCGTGGGAGGGTCAGAGAGTGAGCTGAGTCATTGAGCCACACCCCACAGGGGATAAAAGTGGGTGTGTTTTCTCCGGAAACTTTGTACGGGACAAAGTTTTACTTCTCTTCCAGGTTTCGTCGTGACTGTTTCTTGTGGTCTGCCTTGTAATCTTTAGTGAGTAATTTTTCTTGTTATCATTTAGGACTTGGCAGGCAGAGTGTGTTAGAATGCCAAGGACATTATCAGTATAAAAGATTAACTCTGTGAAGACCGAGTCAGCTTGCCTGCCTGTGTTTGTGTGAGTTTGGACTCTTTCCTCTTTTTTTGGAAAAAAGAAAGGTGAGACATAACACGACATCATCTATCTCCAATCTACAACGCAGTCCTTTCAGGGGTTCCAAGAGGGCTCTACATCCACTTGCACTACTCAGGTGAGCCTGACGACACAGATAAACCTTCAAGTGGCCTCAACGGCTCTCTAAAAAGGATGCAAATGACCCGCTGGATGCAAGGAGGATAAATCCTTCCATTCCCCGGTCAGAGATGGAAGAAGCTTCTTGGATGAGAAGCGAAAACATCTTCAAAATAAAAGCAAGAAAGTCCAGTTGCCTCTTGGGAAAAAAATGGGACAACCATGACCTGGATGACTAAGAATCTCCATAGAAAGTCTCAAGAGACACTTTCACACAACCATTGAGGGCGGGGGAGAGGGAGGCAACTTTTTCTCTGTGTTTTTTTTACCTGTTGGATAACGGAGACCTCTTGCCCAGCCCAATAGCGCCGAGGAGTCCCGAGCTGAGCCTCTCTTCGGCCAGCAGACTCTGCCGGCCTTGCAGAGATGTCAAGACCCGGATGACCGACTCCAACAAGATGGGGTCTTCCTGTTCGGTTTGGAGGAGGCAGAGCTGCAGAACTTTGTGCCACCAAAGAAACAACTTGGCTTCATCCTTGGCAGAGCTTAGGCAGGGGAGCAACCCAGAAAGACACGCTCCGGTTAGAAACCCCACCATCTCTCCGGTGTCCGATGCACAGCTCGCAAGACGCCAACCGCAAAATCCGGGGAATGGGTTGGCTAGAAACTTAAATTATTTTGCCACCTTCCCTTTTGGAAGTTGGAAGGGACAGGCCTAGCAGTTAAAGGCATCCGTCTGTGAAGCAGCTCTAGCTCTGCCTTAGGCATGAAAGCCAGCTGGGTGACTTTCAGCCAATCACTGAGAGAATTGGGAGTATTGGTCCCGCCTTAGGCATGAAAGCCAGCTGGGTGATTTTAGGCCAATCA